ACAGGTATATGACACACTGGAAGGGTTTATTAGTAAGTATTGGCGCTAACAATAAGGGCATTCTTCTGTCACCTGATGATAAGCTTTCTTCCTTTCCACTGCGGTCACATGGGATCTCTCTGTAGTCCTGTCAGCACACATATAATTAAAGCAGTCTGCTGTCAAGGAATTGAAGAAAGAAGTTGCTTGTTGAACGTAAATATTTTCTGTACCTTATGGAACAGAAAAATGATCAAAGATTGAATGACCTAATTGCAAGGAAGTCTCTGATGCAGATTTTATGAGTGAACCTGTTGCCCAGGAAGACTGGTGCAAGGTCATTCCGGTCCTGCCGTATTCTCCTCCTGTGTTCAGAAAAGGGGCTTTTTGCATGTGTAACTTGCAGCCCGTGTGCAACAAACCCGCTGCTGAGCAATGCTGCTGTTAGGTGCGTCTGTGAGTAAAAGAAAAAAAAGGTGTTTTCCACAACCCTCTCCCAATCCTTTTGTATTTCAATGCCCGACCTGGAGTTCAGCAGATCTCGTTCGCACCACGTTTTCACCGCATTGTTGCACTGGTGCAAAACTATGATGACACACCTATGAAGTGGTCCCTTATAAGGGGAGAGGGATCTGGAGTAAAACTCCTTGTGTGTTAGCTCATGTGATGCACTTCTCCCACACGCAGTGGGACACTCCATCCTTTCCCACTGCTTGTCCCATTTCAGACTCCCTCACTTCCAAGGATCCCAGTGTCCCTGTGCCCCGCAGCCTTCCTGGCACCCGCAGTGGAAGCAGGGCTGTAAGGGGCAGCGTCAAGGCCACGGTGCGAAGGGAGATGTGAGGGGGGAGAGGAAAGCTGCCACAGCAGCCGTCTCTGAACGTGGCTGCCTGCATTTCATTCCCAAATCCAGCTGATAAAAGCCAGTGTACATTGCCATGTGTAATCGCTAGGTTAGCTGAGGGTACAGGCTATCTGAGGACTTGCTTTCACAGAGGAATGATTTTATCTAGGGTGGTGTGAGACTTAGGTTTCACACGTGAAAACACAGTAATGCTGTAATTTGTTTGTTATACCTTGATAACTTAGCCTTTGCAACTTCTTTGTGCCAGGCAAAATCCCTGTATCTGCACAGCATGAGTGCAGAACTTGTGTTCCTTCAGTGTCCTCCAAATGCTGCCTGAGTAATGAAAAGACCTGTTACTCTCTCCATGCACCGACATCACTGTACCTGTTGCTATATTCTGTGTCAGTGCCTTCACTTCCAGATGGAAAGAATTAGATGGGGAGAAACCTGGGTCCCATCCCCAGGGGCCAACCTAGTGTCCAACCTGAGCACGTTACCTGGGAGGAAGGATGGATAGAGCAGAGCTCTGGGAGCCACTCGCTCTCTAGGTGGGAAAGCTAGGGAAATTTGCATGCATAGATCTTGCAGACCTGCTCTGGCTGTTCCTCTGGTTGCTTGCTGTGGATCCCCCAATACCTCCCCTGTGCCTAGAAGAGAGCTGCTGATTTGCACGTTGCGGGCTCTGTTCCTCCACACTCACTACATTGCTGGATGTCTCCATCTGGGGGATATTTTTAGATTTCACACTTGCAAGAAACTGTTTTTGTAAGATGTGTGGCTGCTTTGTCCATGTCATCACATACTGAACCTCTTGTTGCATGCAACTAGAGCCGTGTACTTCAATACGCAGGTGGAAAAACAATGTCATCGCCTTCCTCTCCAAAGCAAAGTTATCCAGAAGGGTGACTCCTGCAGATAACTGACATTGCAAAGCAACAATTGCAAACACTACCTTCTTCTTTATTTTTATGCCTACTAAAAGTACCAATTACTTCTTTGTGAATGGGTCTTAAGATGTAGCTGTCTAATAAACCATTCAATGGACAGTTTTTTCTTTTTTCTAAACCTAGCATCTCTGAGGACAAATGACCAAATTCTTACGGTAACAGTTAATCCTCAGCAATGTCTCTTGCTGCTAATCCTCCCTCTCGAACCATTCTGGGGCTGGTGCACATTACCAAGTAGAAACGAGTCTGCTTATATTCCAGATATGCACTTGCTGGTTTTGCATTCATTAAAGTTTCACTTACTCCACAAGGATTTCAGCAAGCTACTAATGTTCTCAAACTGGTCAAAAGCAATCAGCCGAACATGAAATCACAGGTTTTGGCTGTAATCATCACTTCAGGATCTTGCTGTTGCATTCTATAGAGACAGACATGCCTGAAATGAAAAAGTGAACGTATTGAGTGAAAATGGAAAATTATATTACTTTTAACAAAAGGATACATTTATTAAAAAACATGTTTTCTATAAGGAAACAGCATCTACCTGATATTTCTCATGGTTATTTCTTCCTGTTGAGAATAGTTTTTCTTTCCTGGCATTATTATCTATCATGCAATAAGGATAATAGATGAGCCCTGACATAACTCAAGAATCAAATTTGATCAGGGTGATCTAATGACATAAACTGAAAGAACAGCCTCCTGAGGGATTGTGACTTGAAGCCTGGAGTGGGATACAGTGGCTTTATTTTGCTCATATAATGCCCTCCCCTGCCACCAGTATAAAAGATTAGAAAGTTCTTTTGCACAGCATCTTGTGTTTACCTTCAAATTCCATCTGATATTGTAACAGTGCTGCATCTGAGACAAAATGACACTTCTGAGATCTTCTAGGACGTCTGGTCCTCTCTGCAGTTTCTCAGGAGTCATCCTGAACTCTCACATACAGTCACACACATGCAAACATTTTCACACCCAATCTCAAGAAAAATGCTGATTTTGGTGCCGAACTGGAACGGGAATGGATTGTTCATATGGTTCCTTGTGAATTTATAAGTGTGGTTACATAGTGTAAGTTTTTAGAGGAAAAAATACCTGCCATTTTAGCACGTAAGCAGCAGGCAAGGTGGTCTCATTTCTTCAACCCTAGCAGAAAATTGCTCTGAGGGAACTGTGGAGTGATACTGGTACCAGTTTTGGCCTCAACCTCACTAAAGTAAGGGCAGAGTCTGTTTCTTCCAGCACACAGCACCTTGGTGGATGAGCTCTGCAGCAGGGTGAGCTCCTATGCAGTCCGTCCACTCACACCAGCACAAACTCACTAAGGCAAGATTCAGTTTAAAATTCTTTTGATAGCCCAAGCCTTGCAGAGAGGAGAAGACATCCTCATCATGTTTCTATTTTATTGTCTGTGTGCAAACTTGAGGACAAAATGTTCATGCCTGTCTTATAGAGAGACTTCAAGGCTAAAAACTCAAAGGTAAAAAGTACATCAAAATAGAAAAAAGTCTGAAAAAACGGCCCCTCCTCCCCGGTTTGTTTGGATTCCGTGTCTTCACTGTTTAAAACTATCAGTACAGACACAGAGGTGCAGTTCCAAAAGCAGCTATTTAAAACAATAGCTGCGGTCACATCAGTATCACTAGAAAACCCAATGGGAGAAGGATTAATAACCAAACTGTCCTTTCTGAATATCAGTGGTCAGCGTAATTGCAGAAGGGGTTGGGGATGATGATATGTTGGATTTACAACATTTTACAGCTCTCATCGGAAAATAGCTCAAAGCCCTCTCTCCTGAAAGCTGCTTGATTTTCCCACAAGTCCAGCTCCAGCTTATCATCTACAGCCTTGGCTGGTTGTGTACTGGTGAGCTGCACACTGTTCGACGCTCACTTGAGCACTTGTGACCTCGCCCTTGACAGTCAGCTCAAACGACTGCAATGTATTCAATATTGGCTATCAGCGAGCAAAGCGTCAGATACTGCTTGCTATTGCCTCATTATACACTATGCTCCCTACAAGAAGTTGACATGAAGGCGTAGCAGTCTGATCCTCGGTGCAGATTCCCGTCCTTTACCGCTCAGCAATAAAAGCCCACGCTGTCAAAGCACGACCTGGGTAACGCAGAGATGAGTGCGGTAATGATATGTCCATCTTTGTTGGTACTCTGCACCATCTTGTGGCTAGCAGAAAAACACCAGAATAGCGCCTGAAATCTTTCACTTTTTTTTTTTTTTGTGTGTGTGTGTGTGCGTGCATGTGTGTTTTTCCTAATGAAAAACACAGGTTGTCAGTGTACACAGATAAAATTTGGTGCCCTTTGTACAGCTGACACAGATGCCTGCAGGATGGCTTACAAACCAGCAAAGGGAAGACCACAATTAGAGATAAGTAGGTTGGGTGCAGGTCCTGTAGCATATGTAAATTACTTATCTGTGGAAGACTCACTTGCATTTCCATGCATTTGGAACAAATCAGATATTCTAGGTCTTAAGCATGGAAAAATAGTTAAGAACATCCCGATCCCAATGATCTCTGTTGTTCCAAGAAATGTTTCTTACTGATCATGAAAGGTTTTCCCATATTCTCCTCTAATTCCTTTGCCTCTTTCAAAGAAATCTTTTTAAATAAAATTACAGGTTTCATCGCCATCACTATTAACATTGTCTTCATTTGAAAGTTTGTCTTCCAGCATCTACAGCCCTTAGCGTCCCATGAAAAGACTCAATGTAACATCATACAGAGCAAAGGTTATTCCAGTGAAGCTTATTTATGGTAAACACAGCCTTTTCGTTCCACAGGAACACATTTTCTCCCATCCTCCAAATCATAATAGATGTCAGACACAAGACTGTGTTTTCAGAGGAGTAGAAGGACATCCGCTATCCTTGAATTTAAGTGTGACAAGGATGAGACTCTCCTGTGCTCCATGGAAAATTTCTGCCCACATGCCTAACATCAAAGCTGGGGAGCTAATGATGGGTTATCCCCTTACTGCCAAATGTATGGTTTCCTTCCCGAAACCTGTGTCCACTTTTAGAGGAGGGAGATGGGACAACGCTCAGTCTGATCTGGGATTGCCATTTCTTATGCATCTTTTCCTGCTCCCCATGGCGATTTGGGAGTTTCCAACAGGCGATGGTTACGTTCCTCTATGGTCGTGCAGGGCAAGCTCGGTGAGCACGTGGTATTGTGATGCTCCTCAGAAATCTCTCTCTTTTAAACAGAAAAAATGGCCCCGCAGATGGAGTCCTCAACCCCTGCCACTTTGCTGCAGGAGGACGAAGAACATGTTAGCAGACGCATGATGACCAAAAGGGTGAAAATCATCACAGAACTCATACAGACAGAGAAAGACTATATCAGCGACCTGGATCTCTGCATCAAGGAAGTGATTCAGCCCCTGAGAAACAAGCAGGTGAGTGCCGGGGGCGGAGGACGAGGCGGTGACGTCAAAGTCTCAACTCACCCACGTTCTGCTTGCAGATAATGTTAATGCAAGCACAAGTGTCAGTGTGAGAGTGACACGGTGCCGGGAGCAGGTTCCAGAGCTAGCTTTCTGGAAAGAGATGTACCAGGGCTCTCACGAGGAGAGTGGGAAGTCAGATATGCTGCTGACACTTGTGCTACACTTGCATAAAGCCTGCATCAAGGTACTTGCCCAGAGGGCTGCTGGGACGCTATATCCCTGCTCATGGGCTGCAACAGCAGCTTCCACCTCTCCATACTGGTCTGTAATTATAACCTCTGATACGTGCCCTGGCAGACCTTTACTGGCGCCTCCAAAAGCAGTAAAAACCAATAAATCCAAGTATTTTCCATGATAACAACCTGGAATAGCATGAACCTCCCCATCAAAGTTAAATTCAGTCGTAAAGATAACTTTATCTAGCCTTTCAGACAGCTGTGGTGGAGAAATACCATGCCTGACAGACCAGCGAGCACTTCAGAAATTTGCATTCTACACAGAAAAGGTACATTTAAGAAGGAAAGCTCATAAACTATCTTTCAGGCAAAAGCTCTTATTAGGCCAATGATATCCATTTTCTTTTTCAGCTGAGACTTCAAAAAGCACCTTTTTCTCAACAGTATTTCAATTTGTAGAAAAATTGTGCAGCTAAAAGCTGGGAATAGAAGAGGTTGTCCAGAGAAAGATTCATGTTTGTGGGGCCTGCAACATAGCATTCACAGAGGCTGCACAAATGGTATCTGCTGCTAATACAGAATAAAAATAATTTTAAACAGACCTTGACCCAAGTATTCTGTATGTAGGATTTCTTATTAAACTGGTGACAAAATACAGGTGCCAAAGTGTCTTCAGATGACATTGGCACTGCCTCTTTGGGAAATGCTGTGGCCAGCTGAAGCCTGTGCTGTTTAAGCTGCTGCAGGATCTTTTTTCTTTCTTAAAATCCTGTCAGAGTTTGTTCCAACCCATTTTCAGAAGAGCTGGCATCTGCTGGCATAACTTTAAGGAGTTCTTGACTTCTTCCTCCTCACTTGTTCATCGGTTTAGAAGTAGTCTCCACTTGACTCCCTCCCCAGCTTGGCGAGCATGGAGAAAGAGTATTCCCTGGTTGAACTCACTGAGATTTTTGACAAGTGTGCTGTATTCCTTTGCTCCTTTCCAGCCAACTGAAAATACACGTTTCGATTCTGTCCTTTGTCACTGTATTAACGTGTGTAAGTGTCTATGCACAGCATAGTTCCAAATAGGGCATGTAGTGATAGGATGAGGGAGAATGGCTCTAAACTGGAAGAGGGCAGGTTTAGATTAAACATTAGGAAGAAATTTTTCACTCTGAGGGTGGTAAGGCACTGGCCCAGGTTGCCCAGAGAGGTTGTTGAGGCCCCATCCCTGGAGGTGTTCAAGGCCAGGCTGGACGTGGCCTTAGGCAATCTGGTCTAGTGGGAGGTGTCCCTGCCTATGGCAGGGGGGTTGGAACTCGATGATCTTCAAGGTCCTTTCCAACCTAAACCATTCTATGATTCTATGATTCTATGAAATATTATGTAGGCATTGTGCTGGAGCAGAGGTCAGAAGTCTTGTGCTAGATGTATACAGGAAAAGTAATTTAGCGATTATAACTGTCTTAATTTAATAACCTCTGCATTTTTGAAAGGCTTTCGAGAATGTTATATAGTTTTAAGACTAGTTCTCGGATAAACGACTGTATTGAAAGTTTGTAATGTGTTTAGAGAAGGATAGCGTTTAGAAAATTGACCTAGCAATGAATCTGTTTCTTATTTCCAAATGGCTAAAACATGTTTTAGCCCCTATAATACTTATAAAGAAATTAACTGCATTAGTACTGAAAGTATATTTCTGATTCTGTTACAATAGCATGCAATTTGATCCTCCTGGCATCTGGTAAGCTGCTATGTAAGTTCAGCAGTTCTGTTTCTAATGGAGAGATGGATGTCAAAATCAGTCTTGCCTTTGTTCTCAGTATTAGCGCATTACCACTGGCTATCTCCAGTCGTCCCCGAATATTAACTATTGCCCCACTGTGCAAGGAAATAAATAACTCCTGCATGAAAAGTATGTGTCCTGGAATTTTTTTACTTTCTCAAAATGAGTGGGGACACAGAACCAAATTTTCTGTTGGTATAAATTGATGCAGTTCACTGAAGTCAATAGTGTGCACCCAGGCTCTGTAGGAAGCTCTTTAATACTCAGAATTGTAAATGTGTTTGTTTTAGTGAAAAGGATATGATCTTGACTGTATTTTTGGATTTATAGGACAACTAACTTAAAATGGTACCACCATCTGGAAGTCTTTGTAGCAGGTAGCTGACACCAAAGCGCCAAGGTCTCAGTTTATGTAGCGGCCTCTGTTAGCAACTGGTAATTAGGGAATCAAACCCACTGTCAACTGTTCTTCTCCTCAGTGGGAAAGTAAACAAACATTTTAAAGCCAGCTGAGGATCTTTTCTCTATTGAGATGATAATATTTATTTCCTTCCTAGGTAAACACTTTCAGATTAGGAATAGTTCAAAATAAGGTTAAAAGCACTTGATAACATGCCCTTTGTTAACTGCGTCAACCACATTAGACTAATCTGAAAACTGTATATGTGTCCTTGAAGTCACAAGGAGGATGTTTATATGAGGTTTTGCAGAAGTGGTGCTTCCTGGAGTGTTGAACACTCAGGGCATAGTAAGAGAAGGTCTGTAATACACAATGTCCTTCTTTATCCTTCATCAGTAGCCGCTTAATATTTGTATTCCATTAGATTGCTCGCTTTGACGTGGACGGCTTATTTAGCAACATTGAATTGGTCCATCAAGTATCAGCCAAACTGCTGTCATTGTTGGAAGAAGCCACGACAGATGTGGAACCACCCATGCAAATAATCGGTATGTTTACTGTCCTCTTGAGTTCTACAAAGCTACGTCAAAGAATAAACATAACACTCCTGTCCTCTAATCTCATCAGACTTAACTAGTACCACTCCCAGAGGCTAACATGCTACAAGCTGTCCATAACAACACAGGAAAAGTGACGTGTGAAACCTGTCCAGTTGCCCTACTGTACTTGTATGATCATGATGGTCTTTTTCCGTCCATCTGGACGTTGAGGAGAAGGAAGGAAGGTGAGAGTGAGTTTAGCATGAGTAAAAACTGCAGCACCGGGTTATGCCACATACTGATAATATCCTTTTCATCTAGTTTGATATTGCCTACCTAACTCTGCTCATGCTTACACCAACTCTTATGTTGCATACTCATAATAGTCCCATTCAAGAAAAGCATTAAAAATGATTGGAATAATAAACATGTACAACCCCACCCCCCATACCCCCAAACATTGTAAACGTATCTACTGGCGATACAGTTAATGTAAGAGGTCATTAAGTGTGCTCAAGAGGGACATGGTCAGTAAAGGCA